CAGCATGACACTCCGGTTTCTGTGACGTCATTGGTTGCACTTTGGGATTACTTTTCATGTTTGGACAGCGCGGGACGCTAAAGACACCAGTCGGAGATGCGCTCCAGGCATCATACTTCTGGTAAACCGCGTTCCGCCATGCTGACGAACAGCGCTTTTCGCGTAGGTTTCCATGCAATCGATTAGTAATTCGCGTCATTCCTGGCGTTGGTAAAGCGCTCAAACACGTGGAGTGGGTCCGTTTATGATGGAACTGAATAGGAAGTTTTATCATAACGTTCGCAATTTTAGCAATTTAGTGATTGCGTTAACGCATATTACGCCAGGGAGTTTTACAATAGCGTTTCTCCGCCGCAACGCAAAACCCAGCCTTCGCGGGTTTGCAATGCCATTAAGATGCAGTACAAACTTTTATTTCACACACGAAATGCTGTAACTTGATGAGAAAACAAGTGGTTAGGTTCATAAGTCTAAGGCAACATTTTAGATTTGTTGAAATATGAGAATGCGACGGGAGCGGTCGACCGGTCGTGTCCTCCTGCGTCGCCTCGGCAAGGGGGGTCTCGTGTACTGACTTTTGCACACCGTACCCCGCGTACTGGCCGAACCTTCGCCGATCTGCCATGTAATAAAGAAAGTTCGCAGATAAAGAAAGTTCGAGCTTCGCAAGCAGCAGGTTGCCGGCAATCGTTGCCCACCTTGCTGGGTTATCCAATCCGCTTGTGGCGTGCACCGCCCGTAGGAGTGCAATGTCGCCACGCATTGAAAACCGCAGTCGCGAGGACGCCGCCGACGTTGTACTCACGAGTCACGACGGCCGCCAAAGCGGCCGCAGCCGTACATAAGGGAACCAAACCGCCATTTTCTAACTGTGCCCGTCTTGGCTTTAACCAACTTCTCGCACATCACAAATTCTCCTTTGAGGAGCCCAAAAACTCTTCGCACGCAATTTTATAAAAATTGTGAACGCTAAAATAGCGTGCGCAAAATGCGGTTAGCGTTCGGACCATGCGCAGTGGTGAAGACGCTATTATTTACATGCGCAAAGCCTTCACGTACGCTATTCTAAAACTTTCTAGTATGACCAGGGGTGCAGTTCGGCGGTATAAACCTACGCTAATTCTGCTCTCTATTTCTTTCATGGTTCAGCAGGAGGAATCTCCTGGGCCATATTGGCCGCCGACGGATCAACCTCTTGACCGCCGGCTTGTTTGAGCTTCGAAATAAAACTGGCACGTATATAAATCAAGTACCAGAGGATGTTTTTTTGTGTGGCCTACTAGTACTAGCCAGGATGGCGCAGTCGATCACAACCCTATGGAAAATCCGTTTATGGGGCTCACCAGGATTTTTTTTAAATGTTTTGATGCACTCATCAACGATGTTTGACGTGTTTGAGTCGTCCGTCGAACTTTCCTAAGGGGCCTGACGTACCATTTAAAAATTCCTAAAGGGTGTCAAAGACCTACTTTCGCTTTTTAAGAAGCCTGTGGGGTCTGTACCGATCCTTTCCGTGAAACCACACCACCCATCAAAATCGTTTTAACATGTATGTGGGAGAGATCACGTGACACTTCAGGGTAAATGCGTCGGGGAAGCCGCTTGGCCATTTTGGATCGGGCGGCTGGGCAGCCACTACGAGTTTTGGAAATTGAGGAGACGTTCCCCCGTTTTTATCCAGTCGTGGCCTTCGCAGCCCCATTGCTGTGTCTGTGCGTTCTGTGCTTCCTCAGGAGAGAGAGAAGGTGTGTGGGAAAAATGGGAGGGGGACTTTTTATTGCTTCTTTAAAAAGGACCTGTTTTAGTCAGTCGAAATACAGCCTTGGTCAGAAGCTTGTCGCCTTGGTTTTCCCTCGTCAACGAGCGCAAACTAAATGCGCAACAACGTGTCGGCTTCCTGTCCCATGCATGAGAACTATCTTCTAGATCAGCTGGGTGTGCAGATAAAGAAAGTCTCTCAGGTGTCCTGTTCCTCGCGCCTCGTCGTCCGTCCGGCTTCCAAACACCAGACAGAAAAAAAAATGAAAGTCGCTTACAACCCCCTGTAAACCCGAATTAGAGCGCAGCTCTTGAGGAGAAGGAGGAGGGAACGGTACTGAGGGGAGCGTACACCCCTCCCCTCTCCTGCCTCCTTCTCACCTCCTCATCCTGCGTGGTACTCCTCACTCTGAGAAGCGTCGCGGCGTTTCCGTGGGCGTAACCGTGAGGTCGCGTGACTTCCGTGAGGTGACCTGACGTCATCGGCATCGTCATTGATGATGTCACACGTGACGATGACAATGACGTCATTTGTGACGTCATCGCGATGATGACGATGACGTAATGGATGACATCATCAGTGACGTCACCATTGATGACGCCATCAGTGACGTCATAGTGATGATGACGATGAGGATGATGTCACCGAACGTTCGCCTAAGAGCTGCGCTCTAAAAACACGCTGGAGACGACACCGTGACTGTGCTCAGGATTTCTCAATGGCGGCGGGTGTTGGTTGTACGTTTGTGGTTTTCGCTAAACGTGCTACTAACAGGGTGTATAGACCTTTTCATTTTAGTAGTTGCCTCACCGGCGGACAGAGGGCGCTGACGCACTCGGCGCCATTAGGTTGCTTCAATTTGGTTGGTTTCGGTTTCAACGTGAGCGCGGCTATGTTGCTGTTTTACGCTGGTTTTGCTTAGTTTTGCGATACAATTATTTTCCTGGTAGCACACAACCAATGACACAGTAGTATTGAGCCACTTTGATGACTACGAGCTGTATTTTAGCTTAAATTGTGGGCTCTTTTTACCAACTCCATTGATGTATCTGATTATGGTCGGTTGCGAAACGCCTGACTGATGTGCAGGGAAGATTGCCATCGTGTATAACCGTACCCGATGACACCAGTTTCCAGAAAAACAAACTAATAAATAAATTAACATGTGAATGTAGAGGGGGAAGCATATCGACAGCTTGATTAGCAATATTCTGAATCGGCCAGAACAGATGAACTCGCGAGTTTACAACTCACTGTTTGGTTTTCGTGGGCACCCAGCCTTTAGTGAACTTCGCAGAATAAAAACGTATCGTGTAATGACGCAGATAATTGATATAAACAAATAATATCGTCTCGGTCTTTTTTTTTAAATTTAGTACTCAAGCATGTTTCGACAGGCTGATTATGAAATTTCTTAAATTATCAATACTGCTAAAGTACTCATCAGCAGCATTTCGCTATATTCGCCCTAGGGAATACATTTTTTTATATGAACATTTGCTTACTCAGGATATGATATAAGTGACAGGCCCTTCAAATTAAATCTGGCATTCGTCTTCCGCGAAATTGGCCAAATAAAATTAAAGGGCGCATAAGGAGAAATACCTCGGAAAGTTTGGCTGAATTCTAGCGCTAGGCACCACTTCACAGACCTGTGTGAACAAATATTTATTTCTTAGCACAAATTCGCTTTATAAATTTCGGTGTAGCCAGCCGCAAAAAGTAAACCTCTATTCGCCATCGACAATCCTGGACTCAAATACTGTTAAGACGGCTCTTTTTTTTTATTTTTTTTTTTTTTGCTGTTTTTTTTTTTTGGGGGGGGGGGGGGAGGGGGGCCTCAATTATTGCGGATTTTAGATGCTGGGAAAAGATAAAACAACGTAAGCAAAAACAAAACAAAAAAAAAGCGTCGTCATTATTGCGCATGCGCCGAACCCAAACCGCGTTTTGAATTTGTAAATAGAAACGACGTTATTTCTTTAGTGTTGACGATTGGGCCAGTTGGTCATTCATATTAGCGGAAAACAAACAGCGCAAGGACAAGGACAACTCGCTACTGTTAAGTGTATGTGACAGTTTCTTACGCGGGAGGTCCCAACCTTTCTGTTAAGTAAATTAAGCATAGTACACAATTTCTTAAACTTCATAAGTAAACCGACCAATCGAATGTCTACGTCGCAAAAAGGAGATTGAGAACCTCATACACATGTAAGTGTGATATTTTGAACAAAAAAATCGCTTGATGTTAACGTACCTTTACTTTTAGCCTCAGATAAAATACAAGTTAAACGTTTGTTGTCTATCTCCTCCGCGAGTTTCCTCACATAATGAAAAGAAACTGTTTTCGATATATTATGAATACAAAGAACGATACTTTCACGGAATACAGATAGTCTCCTTGTGCTGACTATTCTTGACGCCTTACAATCCTAAATGCGCGATATAAATATACACGCTTCTTACTGAGAATGTTTCGCCACTATTAGTAAACAAACCTCAGGAGTCGTCGAGTAGACGTATCGGACTACAGTTTCCGAAGAAAGGCAAGCAAGCGCGGTGAAACGCGACGAAAAACACGAATACACCGCATCCGCCAAGGCGCGGAGGGGAGAGCGGAGCAGCAAGTTGAAGCAACCTAATGGCTGCCGCGTCACGTGATTCCAAGATGGCAGCGCCCATGCGGAGGAGGATGAAAAGGTCTATATGTCCGTGTGGTGCACCTGCTGAGTTTTATAAGTTTAACTACCGTACATCTCAGGAATTTACCCAGCAGCATTGTGAGTACCTTGAAATACATTTTTTTGAGACAAAGGCGCGGTTGTTTTTATTAGGTCTACAGCTGCTCGCACCCGGGTTTGAGAAAAAGTTTCTTCTTATCGTCTTTTTGAATAACTACATGCATATAAAACTCAATGTCTGAAATAAAGTTTCAATAACGTTGTAAACTGCGTTTTTGGTCTATGGTTCGCAATCATTTGGGCGTCTAAAGGGTGGAAGGGTGAGTGGGTCTGAAAGGCTGAGGGGTCTGAGGGGCTGAAAGGAATTGTAGGGCTGAGGGGTTTGACGCGCTGAGGGGTCCCATAACACATCAGGCCTGTTGTGTATTTTCAATAGGGTGATACAAAAAATAAGCTCGAGGGAGCTGGGAAAAATTGCCTCTATGTTGGATAGACATAGGTTAAAAGGTAACACCAATATGGAGTCCGGCAAGATTCCGAGCCAGAATTGAAGGACTCACATATTGAGGGTGAGCATCTGGATGGCCACGATTACTCCGAAGACGGCTGCCGAGGCGACTGAGTACTGCGCGAACTGTGGGTCCGGCTGCTTCCAAAACTGGGTCTCGAGCTTGGTGTCCTTGAACCGCAGGAACACCGGATTCAAACCCTCCGGGGCACAGCACCTGCACTTGTCAATATGTTCCTGCTACCTAGCGTCGTTTTTGGGCAGAGTGTGAGTCCTTAAACATGCTACAATAGCCTCGGTGCACTTGCCATATATAGCAACCCCTAGTGATATGGCACAAATATTAAAAAAGAAAGAACAAATTTCAAATTTTCATTTCCAACGAACCGTAAAAACAAAAACACCTTCCTCAAATCACTGGATAGAGGAAAGTTGATCGTTTCAAAAGCCCGACCACTTATGCCTTTTACTCTTCAACATTTGAAACACCGAATTTTTGAAGCTGTGAATTCAATAACTATAGGGACCCGTTGATTTGTGTATGACAAGAAATTAACTACCGTTCTTTGTTTGTCGCGCAACAGATGGAGCCCATGTTGAGTGCAAAAAGCCCAAGGACCATAACATTTTGAAGTATGAGCCTTCCTCTATCCAGTGATGTGCAGAATGGATTCCTGTCTTGCACAGTTTGTTTAAAATAAAAATTGTAAACCAAATTGTTTTTTAACAGTCATTTATGTCAAAACGAACCATTTTATCAAGTTATCTTTTTCGACACAATTATTGTACAGTAGCTAATAAAATGACACTCAGTCTACCGTCAATTTCAATATCTTGTATTCTAACACATTTTTTGACGAGGGGTGGAAAAGCTACATGGGTGCCGTCCTAACTCTGCTTATCAGACTCGGCGGGCATAATATGGGATCAAACTGTAGCGGTAGATTGGCTAATTAACTATGTACTTTCAATTATATTTTTTTAAATAAATGGCTTCATGGGTCAGGTTGAAATCGCAGCTATCAATTTAGTCGTTAATATAGGCTAAACAAATTTAAATAATTTGCAAAAAAAAACAAAAAAACTGGCTGTTTCGCATGTCGTTTAAGTAGCAATAGATGCATCTCTGCCTACACTATACCCTTCAGACTGGGAGAGATGGGTGACCCCAGCCAACACCACATAGAATGATGAAAGCCCGTGCACATAGCACTTCGACATCGTCCCAGTGAGATCGAACGCAGTCACAGGTCCGTCACGAGTGGCTTGTCAGCATTCGGCAGGGCATCGTGCTTATTTAATGAATCGAAAGACGCTCGTGCGCCGGGTTCTGGCACAGTTGATGAGTTGACGTCGTCAGAGTGTAATGAAGTCGCGTAGAAATAAAGGAGACTGTTCAAGGGCTTTGACTATTCTAGGTGGCATTGCCACAACCGTTATGCAGAGCCGCCTACGACGGTAAACTGCGATTCCCGGGGGGGGGGGGGGGGGGGGGGGGGGGACGTCCCTGCTCTGAAGTCTAGCTGTAACTTCTGGGCTGTCAACTCGGGGTCGAAGAATGTATAATGCAACGAGCTCAAGGATTACCTCATGTCCCAACACGCTGTAGACTCTGGCAGGAGGTTGGTTTCGATGAGAGCTAGGCTCTGCAAGAAAATAAAACACTCAAGTGAGCCCATCTTCACCGAGTATAACTCCGTTCGTAGCCTCCTCTATACTCACAAAACCTGGCAGTTCGACGACGGAGCCATAGAGCGCCCGGTCGTAGATTCGGAGCGCGAGGATCTGATAGCACAGAGCATTTCTCGGGGAAGCTGGTTGTGAGCGCATAGCTTTTGCAGCGGCAAGGACGCGTGAGGAACGCGAGGAGCACGAGCGGACATTCCATCGCTCGGAATAAGTGTGTTTCGGCGCCTCGCAGCAGCGGGGCGTCTGTTGCATGACTCTTCTCTCATCCATTTCCTGCAGCTCTACCTTTCAGTTTCGACGGCCGCGTCTCATGGCGATCTGCCAGGCTTTGTCAATATAGAGGAGGCTATATGCTCAGCTGAACTTTCCATTGCAGTACAATCGACGCTACGGCTAAGAGATCTGCTGAAGCAGTGAAAAACGTTAAAGCGGTAGTTACGCGAATAAAAAATCTGACTAGCCATATATTATTTAGTGAGAAACACAGCAGTCAGAATAACCCTGACATCACATTGAAGAGCGTATATATTGTCAGAGCTTTTCAGGCTGAATTTTATGGGCTCAGCGTGAGAATATTAGGCTTCCTAGGCGTGGTGCAAGAAGAGAACTCACGAGGCAAATACTCATTTACAATGTGCATCATATGCTACTTTACGACTTTTTAAAATGTTCTAAAAGTGGTATGTTTAATATAAATAATGAGATGAATTTACGTTGTATCAATTAGCATAAAAATAGCATTGAAGGTTCTACAAGTGGCGCAGAACCCTACAATTAGGACATTGCCGTTCCGCGTTCAATGAAACGTTACACATTGCTATAGACTGCCAACGAATGCGTCAACGTCTTTTTGGTTTTGTTATTTTTTATGTTCTAACATTCAAGCTCATTTAAAAATTGCGCACTATCAACAAACATGATAGGTACGTACATTCGAATATAAACCCGGCCTAGTAAACGAATTATATAATTACGAGTATGTCCAGTAACAAACGAAACGACATAAGATGTTATGTCAAGCTACACACGGCTTATGTAATCACTTTAAGTTTTCCAGTATGGCTATAAAACTAAGCATATAAGAACACTTTTACGCATATTTTAGGCAGCACGATGGAGTATATTGGTAGCTTTATTGGTGACACGAATTATGATTGAGAATTATAACATGCTGCACACAGTTTTTATGTTGCGGCTAATAAGTGAGTCTCTGACGAGTAGCTTAGCATTTGCGCCGTCCATTCAAACATTTGCATAACCTTTTTCAAGTGCATATTACCACGCGCTTCGCCGAGCGAGCGCGTGCGTGGCATAATGATTGAATGTCGCGCGGAAGGTCTAGGTTGAATTCCAGTCAGTGAAATGTCCTTTTATTTATTCTTTCGACTTGGCTTTCTCGTAAGCTTGACAACATTCCTGTCTGATCGAGTTCCAAATGTTCTACGTGCCAAAACGTCTAGTCCAAACGTTCCAGAAACTCACGAGGGTACATAAGGAACTCCGCATGGCGAGCGGAGTCAGTCTCGCCCCAGCGCTGATCCTGCTGTTTCGCCAATATCGACGCCTGCGACGCTAACCTTCTCCTCTTTTTTTGTTTTTTTGTTTTGGGCACAAGGTCGCCCCATTAAACGTTTATATCATACAGTTATTCACCGCCTGATCATTTGTCATTTGTGACAATATACGATCCAACTGTCCCGTATAGAAGCGAAAAGAATTTCAAGATAAAATATTGTAAAAATAATGAACGTAATGCGTTTGCATGCTTTACTGATAATATACAAAGCTGCTTATACGTCTAGCAACGCTGCGCACGCGACTTTCATTCGTTATATTGTCGATAAGGTCACCGCTCCTCGACGTTTCGTGGCTGTGGTGATGTCATTTGATACCACCAATAGTTTGCAAGTATGGCCTCTGCGCGCCGCCATCTTGCAGCTGGTGTGGGTTGATCGTACGATAGCAGTGTTGGAACTAACGCGTTACAAGTAACGACGTTACTGGTAACGCGTTAGTTTTTTAGTAACGTACTAAAGTCCTCGTTCGAATCCCAAATGAGTAACGAGTAAAGTAATGTCGTTATTATTTTACGGTATCTGCTATCAAATTACGTTACCTGTTACTTTTGATTAAAAATGGCCGCATGAACGTTTGAAAGCAAAATAATTTTTATTCTGCGCAATACAAAAAGTGACAAAGAAACCCTAACAAAGTTTTGTATAAACGGCATAATTTCAAATTCCCTCGAAGACAGATTCAACGTTCCCACGACCTGGCCCAAAAGACGCGAGATGATCGCTTCGCGAAATTCCTAAGCGTCCTGGGTGCAGTCTTTGTATCGAACCTACTAAGACCACCGTCGCCGTGTCCTGAAGGAGCAGCCGTCTTGCTGAAAAGAGACATCCGCTCAGAAGGCAACAGTCTGTCGCCGCTCGAAGGATAGTGCCTAATCGTCCCTAGCTACTCCAGCTGGTCAAATGCTTCTTTTTGAAAATATATAGATTCTTGTTCTGTCAACAACAAAAAGGATAAACTCTAAATTGGGAAGCGTTGACGATCCCACGCTTTAAACCAAAACAAGTGGCGAGGTTATCGCAGGATTGAAAGGCGTCCGTCACCAGAAAGACATCACCATGTTTTAGAATCCCTGCCGCCGTGGTAAAAAGGTGCGGTTTCTCGCTGGATAACGACTCCCGTTCAGAAGGTCACCCCCCACTAAATCCTCTGGGCACCTTTTTTGCCATAGTGCCTCAAAAATTAGACGAAAGACTGAGTAACCACCACGGACGGCACCTTCTTTGTACCGCAGTTAGCCCCCAACCCCCTGGCATTCAAAGACTGAATTATCTATTGCTGGACGCTGCGCCTGCCTTATCCTTCTCGCAGTTCCTGGTTGTGTGTGAAGGCTACTCTACCACACTTCTAGAGAAACACATTCGTAGCAGTAAGTGATGGCTCTCGTCTGCTTCGCCCTTACTTGCTGCTGCCGGCGTGAAACGAGAAAAAAAGAAAAGAGAAGATTTTAGAAGTGAAAGAGAAACTTAGGGTAAAGAGCTTATAAACGCTCGCCACCTTTTTTAATCATATATACAAGTAAACATACTACGAGTATGCATGTGATTATAACCAAAGTATGGCCGGCGTTATAATTCGTTTATAATTGCAAATAATTTTCTTTGCTTATAATTCTTGGCTATAATTCTTGGCCTCTTTTTGCTGCTTGTGTAACCTGAACCGGACAGTGACTAAAACCGGTGTGGCTATGAGGTGTGTTGTTTCTGAGCAGTCCGTGCACTGTACAGTTGCGTCTGTCATGCAACGTCTGCCTCTAGCTAGTAACCACTAAGGCCGTATTGGAACGCTTGTTATAAAAGTCAGACGAAGTCAGACAATTTGCTGTTTAAATGTCTGCTTTGTATGCCAAAACTCAAGCCGCTGAGCACACACAGGACGTCGAACTCTGATTTGAAAAAAAAGCACATTAAGGTGAGTTATTCTTCAATGTCACTTTTGTTCCATTAAAATGTCGTCGTTAAGCTTTCTTAGCCAAAAGAACACACCTTTCTTTAAAGATCGTTTTGTTAGTAAGTAAGTAAGTAAGTAATATTTATTTTCAGCAATATTGTGCTGAGGGCACCAAACAAAAAGCTTCCATGAGGTAGCTTGACTGGGCCTGGTGCCCCTGCACTTACAGGGCATTATAAAAAAAACAAGTACTACAGAATACACTTTGACTAAACAAAACAAACACGTACATCTTTTTTTGTTAAACAGTGAATATCATTGTGGTCTATAAGGAACTTGTTAAGTAATGAAGGCAGGTTATGCGCAATAGATTGGAGTGCATAATTTGTACGAAAATGAGGCACGTTCCAGAACTCTCTGCGTCTGACAAGGATGAAGGATTCACGTTTTGTCAGATGGGATACATTAGACAAAAAAGAAGCAAACTCAGCGGTCGAAAATAAATAAGAACATAGCAAACGGTACTCGTATACACTGGCAATCCTCATGATGTTGAATTTAAGAAATAATGGCTCAGTATGAGTGTCGTAAGGCACGTTTGCAATAAAACGCAGCATTTTCTTTTGTAGGATCGTGAGTTTGTTAATATTAGATTTGGTTGTTGTGCCCCAAACCAAATGACAATAGTTAATTTGTGAGCTAAACAGAGCATGATAAATTTGCATTTTAATATTTACAGGCAACAAGGAGCGACAGTGGCATATTATTCCAACAACTTTTGACAGTTTCGTAACTAAGTATTCGATGTGATTATCCCATTGCATATGTTCTGAAAAAATGACACCTAGCGTTTTGTGCTGTTTAACTATTTCAATCTGGTCAGTTCCAATCTCTAGAGTATAATTACTAATAACGTGCTTATTTACAGGTCTAAACAAAATTGCTTTGGACTTTACAGTGTTTATTTTAAGACCATTTATTTTTGACCACGAAAGAAACTTTTCCAAAACTAAGTTTCCCATGGGTATAAGTTCGTCCATATTCGATGCAGACAGAAATATACTCGTGTCGTCTGCATACATTACAAAACGTGCTTGATGGCAAATATTGACTAGATCATTTATATATACATTGAACAGCAGAGGGCCGAGTATGCTGCCTTGGGGCACACCAAACTTCAAGATAGTCGCATTGTGTTTCAGCTACATCTCACAATGCTCATTAATGTAAGCTGGCGAAAAGTCTTCGAAAACGGCTTAGTTCAGTTTACTTGTATAATTCAGAACGAGGGTAAATCAATCATGGCAGTTATATATAAACACGCCTATTTGATATCTGTTTAAGTTAGGGAATTTATTTTGAGAGTTTTCTTTTATACTAATTCGTGATGCAGTTTATTTAGTTAATATTTCGTTGTTGCACACGACTGATAACTAGAAATTAACAGCGGTGCTTAGCATCAGTCCTAATTGTTTTTTTTTTACGCAAGTCCCTCCATTCGCAAAAGCTATCAGAGTTTGCATTAACTTAAAGAAACGAAAGACTGAGACTACAACTCACTTTCCCGACACGCCCTTGCTAAAGCAGAGGAAGATCGACCGTATGCATCATCAAGCTCCCGTTTCTCAAGAAATGTTCGACAATCTTGTGGATACGTTGGTGGTTGAGACTCTACAGTCATATACTAACAGCTGTTATACACTAGCAGTGAAACTCAAAGTAACCCAAACTAGCGAAAAAGTAACGTCCGTTAGTCATGGCAAATAACGACACCGGTATTTCATTACAGTTGCAAAATGGTAACGGAGCTTTGTAAAGCTTTAGCTTGATTTTAAGCTAACGAGTAACGCTTTTACGTGACTTATTATCGGTAAGGGGCGCAACGCTGTACGATAGTCAAGATTCACTAAGAGGTACCCACGGTCTCTGCAATGCTTAACTCTCAGATGATGAACACACACCAGCAGCAAGGTGGCCGGCGCACAGAGGCCGCACTCGCAAACATCTATAGAAGGCAATCCGAGAGCCTTTCCCTCCTAAACGTCAACACTAATGGGTCTACGCAGCGCCGCCTAGCCTGCGCCAGCAACACTGCCAGTGCGTCTCGCAGCCTCTCACAATGAGCGGGACGCTAGCAGGTGACGACGTCAAGACGAAGGCGTCTGCCGTCTTGCGGCGAGTCTCGCCGAGCTATAGCGTGTTTGCCGCTTGGGGCGGGTCGGAGAATCACTAACAATGACGTCAATCGCAGGCCTTTTCTTCTAGGTGTATTGCGTCGTTTCATAAGTTACCGACCGCCCATCGTGGCCAGTGGACTAGGCTGCCCCTCCTTTAATTGCCCAGCATGCTTTGGATTCCGTGCAAAATTCACCGTGCATTGAAAAAAAGAAAAGGGAAAAAAAGGAATGTATGACACAGCAGCGATTGAAGCCTACACATAATCTTGTAAACATTACAAAAAAAATGTAATCGATTACAAATACACTTACTCGCGCGTAAAAAGTAGTCAGTTAGATTACTCGATCACTTGGGAAAGTAATGTAATTGGACGTTACGTGGAAAAGTGACCGTTACTTTTTGCGATGGCTTCCGATTTTCAATACGACATATTTTTCTGCCGCTTTCAAGTTCGGTCTTTTGTGCTGTTCATTAGTGGATTAGGATCAGCGAATAGTAAGCTTCTTATAGTCTTAATCTACCAAACTCTCCCGTTGGAGTCTTTGTTCGAAAATTCCATGGTAGGAAACTCGTAGAAAGAAAAGGTGCATTCAAAAGGGGAGGAAATTAGTAACGGCTACGAGCAATATTAATACTTCCAAAAGTAATAAGATTATTCTTGCAATTACTTCTCAATAAACGCATTCAAATAGTTACAAAATTACTCCAATAAGTAACCGATTACGAGTAATTTGATTACTTGTGTTGAGCAGCGTACAAGTCTCCCTATGGCTCACAATAATTGCTTCTGTTCCTCGTGTCTCGCGCCGTGCAAATGAACGTCTTGCGCTCTTACTTTGGAAAGCTTCATTTCAATGAACATTTTTGTGCCCTCCTTTATGGACCGTATACTCGGCGTCAGCTATGTTGCGATACGTCGTCGCGGCTATTGTAGCTTCCACACCGCTGCAGGCCCACACTGCCGCGTCAACACGTGGCTTCCCTTTGTTTCTCATTCGTACTCTCGCGCGAAGGAGTTGACACCTCACGTTGGTGCGCTGCAGAAGTTGCGCTTGACTTGACAACGTGGCACAAAAACAGTTAACGCCGAGGCATCCTTCCGTGGCCACTGCGAAGTATACTGATATTGATTTGAACTAGCTCCAGCAACGGTAGGCGTCGCATCGATAAGCAAGAGCTTTCCCCACCCTCAGAGAAAAACGGCGTTTTGCATTATTTCGTGAAACACGAGCTTCCAGAAACCATCTTTCAGTGTTTTTAGATAAACAAAGTTGGAATCTCGGCTTCGGCGAAAGAATTGGAAGTCCGCTTGGACGGCAAAAGTGTCTCTTCGCTTTCATTTATATTTTTGATACCATAACCGGTGTAACACTTTTATGTGCTCTAATAGACTTAGGCAAGCAATCTTATTGAGCGTTCCCTTTGATAAAAACGGCAGAAAAATTAGCTCTTGGTTCCATATCTGAGATCAAACGAGCAAGTGGACGTCGAAAACGAGATTCCTGTTGTTTACAAACCTCATTTCACACTGCCAGACACCGCATCAACGAACCGCTGCTAGCAATGAGAGTAAGAGTCTTTTCGATAAGTACAGAGTTATTTTTTGTATATAATATTGTAAACAAAAATATGCATTTATTTCTGCTTCTGGTTGTTCACTATTACACCAACTCATTTTGAATTCTGGACGATAGGCTACGTTTGCGAAACACAGTTAAACATGATAGTATTTCGGCTTGGACCCGTTAGGTTTGGTTTCGTCAAAAAAGATTTAAAGCCGCCTCTTCAAAAAAATCAAACATTACACATTGAAGCCCCTGCACAGGTGTGGTTTACACCCAACCAATACCATTGTTCATTGTGCAAGGCCTATAGATGCACAACCGAAGTGTAATCTCTATTCCGATAGCAGATATGAAAAGAGTAGCTACGTAGACCATTCCACAAACCGCCCTCTGCTAGCAAGCGTCTTGGCTTACTGGGCTGTAGATTACGCTCCGAGCATGCGCAATGGCTCCCCTCGATAAAATGTCAGACGCCTCGCACGCATCCACAGCCGAGTGACATATTTTGACTGGATGATAGGAGGTGTAAAGGCGTATACAAACTGGAAATGCGTCCCTGATTAAAAACAACAACAATAAACTTGATTGATCAATACAAAAGCTGTCAATGGGTTCGTAACGTCCAAACACGTCCTCATGTTGTTGTTTTTTTTTTTCTCATTACCGCTGATGCGCGTCGTCAAAATCTGCGTGCTCTGTGCCACATTAAAACATAAACATAAAACTCAAATGTGCTTTGTTTTAGCTTATAGATATGTGTTGTCACGCCGCTTAAGCAGCGGAATCCATCAAATGCGTCGGTCTCACACCTTTCGCCCGAAACGTGCCCGTTTGTTTAGACGGTCGTTTCGACACACCGGTTGCCTGTGTTGTTTACTCCTCGCTACCAATAACATAGTGCACCTATGGTTCTCAAGACGCCACAGGATGGCGCTGTGCATTTCGCTTTTTGGAAAGGTGGAGATAACCGAGGGAGGGATTGCCTGACTCGTGGTCGAGAGAAGAATAAACATTTTCGTATTTTGTAATGCAGAATCGCTTTCTTGCTAAAGCTAACCCTGATGCTTTGATTTAGCATTGAAAAAAAAAAGCGCATGAACTGTGAAGCGCGCCAAAGTCGAAAAGACTTTGCCTATTTGACTGGCTGCACAACGCAACGAAGAAAAAAACACAGAAAAGAAAAGAAAAACGAAAGATGTAGGAGAGAGGACTCCGATACTCCTCGAGAAGACTTCGCCAGCTTCAAAAGCTTCGCGAATAACAATAAAAAAGAAAATGGTGCAAAAGGAGGACCTTACGACGCTGACACAGCGTCGCGTGCCGGGAAGGTTGAGACTGGAGTAAGCGTTCGCTGTGTTCCTCGCAAAAAGCAATTATGACAGTTTGATCGATAGATCGAAATAAAACTGGAAATGTTTTTCTGTCGTTTGGTGAGGCAGAAGGTACACGCATTCGGTTGCGAAGATGCGCTTTTGTTACGCGGGTTGTAATTATTGGAAAAAAACATCCTTAGAATCATTAAGAATTGTTTTTTTGTCTGTTTATTACGTAGAAGTCAACTGTTCAAAATCTCACGAGGTAGTGCGCAATGTGGCCTGATTAGAAGAGTTCGATCGTGCGTATTCATCTAACCATTTATTCGTCAACTATTGAAGTTACCATCACGTGGACTGGTGAATAACCTACGACTGACATAGTTCCAACGTCATGCTCCTGCCGTTGTTTGTTATAGTTATTTTCAATGAATACACCAGTTACATTTTTAAAACTTCAGGGAGTTTAGTTCAAACCGAAATGTGTTTAATATTCCAATATCTTTTATACATCATTGCAAGACATTTTCTTCTCCATGAATAATTTACCCTGGAACGAATTATTTATACATTGTTCTTATTTTTTACTATGTGTTCCTAATATTGCCGTCCCCGGGATTTTGTCGATGAAGTTTCAGGACACCATTTGTATATAACTATGTCATTATCATAAATTTCACCTCACCAGGAATTGAAGTCACCTCTAAACTCTTCCAAATAATATTATTTAATTGAAACAACTAATGAAACATATTTTTGGATTCGATCGTTGAAGAAATGCCGATATATGCGCTTATCAAAAGTAAAGTTACGTGTAATTTAATTATCGAACGCGGTAATAATTACAAACTTGCCCGGCTGACCGCTCGATATTGAAAGTGAGAGAAAAGGACTTAGGAAAGGGAACTTTTGGAAGCGATCTTCATGTAATGCAAACTGGTCCCAATTAGGTCGAAGCTCGCCACTCACGGTCAGTCCGACGTTCTTGGCGAGCGTGCTCTCGGTGATGTTGGCGAAGGGCTTGTCGGCGCCCCAGCACTCCATGTGCTTGTACATCTTGGACGTAGACCGGAGACGACCGCCGTTCTCGCGCGATGCCTGCGACGACTCCACAATCGCCTCGGTCGGCTGAAAGAAAAAAAAAATTAAGGAAGGCAGAGAGCGTCCATCACAGATAGGAAGGTTGATTGTTTTTTGTGAAAAAAGTGAACTCGACGTTTAGGACCACCCATCACGTACGCCTCAAACTTAGCTAATTGTGCTCTTTAATATGTGGACCAATGCACTAAAAGTGAAATAATGTTGTACTTCTATGAAATAAAACAGTACACTTTAATGCACTATAGTGCTGTAAAAAAGTGTATTGTGTGTGTTATAATGTTTATGAGGTGTCAGTTAACAACTACACCTAGTTCCAGATTACAGGACCGCCTATACACTCCATGCGACGCGACCGCCGCGCCGCCAAACAAGACCATGTCGCGCACATTGATACGAAGAGAAGTCGGAGCGGTGCGGTTGCGCTGCGTTGACATCGCGAACTGCTGCGTCGTCAACTGCTCCAATAGTTGTGCGTCATGTCTCGTGGGACTAAGTTTCAAAGATTTCCAACTCGCCGTTGTTTGTGGGGTAGCGAATACAATGGACCCGCGACGCGAGAAATTCGGTCTCCAGATCATGTCTTTCACTATATCGGCACAGCTAGCCGACCTAAAAATAGTAATTTATTTTTCACTAATCTCCTTAAACAAAGGAAAGTGATTTTCCAATCCGCCAGAGCAATGAAAACAGCGTAAAAGAGAAGTTCAATATAAAGATTATTATACCGAATAAAAGGTTAAAAAGCGCGAACAAACGAGGACAATAAAGAAACACGGACGACAGGACAGGCGCTTCACTCTCAACTGGTTTTTATTAACACCATTGTCACCTATATATACACATTGCCCAAACCACATCGGATTCAATCGCGACAATCAGAGCCAACCTTCCAGAAACACCATCTCACTCTGGAGCAAATACAAAGACGGAGCGCTGACGCAATTGTTTTCTTTCTTTTTTATGTAGAATGCCTCTATAATCTCTCTTTCCGTTTTTTCCTTTGCCTTTCTTAAAAACTTTGTGCCAGTCAGGTCAGGTTTACATCCACATCGCCCACAATGGTCAGCGAGATGGCCCCCCGCGTTGTTGCGCACACACAAATTATGTTCACGTGCTCTATCATTGAAGCAGCGCCCAGTCTGCCCAATGTAGACTCTGCCACAACTAAACGGAATCTCGTACACCACATTGGTGACGCACGCAGTATATTGCACCGCGTGTTTCTTGGGGCACGGTGCCTTTTTCTGCCTTGTCAACATCGGACATATCCTGGCAAGTTTACACGGTGCAGAAAAAACCACGTTAATGTCGTATCTACCAGCTACCTTTTTTAGATTATGAGATAGGGTATGCATGTACGGAATGACTTGCACTCGTTTCTTTTCTTTACGTGCCTCGCTGCCTTTTTTACTTCTTTTTAGCTTTTGAAGAAGGCTCTCACAACAACTAGAGATTAGATTAGAGGGGTACCCCGCGTCTGTTAACCTTTTTGATTGTCGTTCAAAACTGATTTTCATCAGTTTTGAAAATCGTGTAAACTTGCCAGGATATGTCCGATGTTGACAAGGCAGAAAAAGGCACCGTGCTCCAAGAAACACGCGGTGCAATATACTGCGTGCGTCACCAATGTGGTGTACGAGATTCCGTTTAGTTGTGGCAGAGTCTACATTGGGCAGACTGGGCGCTGCTTCAATGATGGAGCACGTGAACATAATTTGTGTGTGCGCAACAACGCGGGGGGCCATCTCGCTGACCATTGTGGGCGATGTGGATGTAAACCTGACCTGACTGGCACAAAGTTTTTAAGACAGGCAAAGGAAAAAACGGAAAGAGAGATTATAGAGGCATTCTACATAAAAAAGAAAGAAAACAATTGCGTCAGCGCTCCGTCTTTGTATTTGCTCCAGAGTGAGATGGTGTTTCTGGAAGGTTGGCTCTGATTGTCGCGATTGAATCCGATGTGGTTTGGGCAATGTGTATATATACGTGACAATGGTGTTAATAAAAACCAGTTGAGAGTGAAGCGCCTGTCCTGTCGTCCGTGTTTCTTTATTGTCCTCGTTTGTTCGCGCTTTTTAACCTTTTATTCAGTAATAGACCAACTAGCCTAAACCCAAGTTTTAATGAAATTATTATACCGTAAAGCGCAGTTTACTTCAAAACTTGTTTCTTGATATAAACCACGTCATACTGGAAGAAAGGGAGTTTGATTTGTTTGCATATTGAGAAAGTTCTATTTGCTGTAATATTTCAGCAAAAAAAAAAAATCATTAACCCCGAAGTTTATATAAAACCCCCAAGAAAACAGCGCCTTCCCGCCAATTTTTCGTATTTCTTAAATAGCTTTGTGCATACGGTGCCAATGTAGCCATTGCTTTTGAGGTCGGTTCTAAACAAAGTATTAAAAGTATCTCAACTGCACCAAAAACAAATAAGTAAAAAAAAAAAAAATTCCACGACGTAAAGAGTGTTTTTTGAACTTAAGCGGTTTGCGACTTCTTTAACCATAGTGACTTTTCCTTTTGAAATTAAAGTGCGCAAGGTGGTGGAATAATCTCATAGAAAAGTGCCAAGCTCTAGTAAGACGAAATATATATATATATATATATATATATATATATATATATATATATATATATATATATAATATATAATATATATACTGACCGATGCAAGATTAGCCTTAAGGCCCGTTCACACTCTTGCAACCAACCATGGCAAATGACATTAAATGAAAATAAATGTGTGTGTATGACTATTTCACGTAAGAAACTCCCCCTTGACTTCAATTATGAGTTATCTGGTCACAAACTAAACAATGTAACAACCTTCAAATATCTAGGCGTCATTTTTTCTTGTGAACTTAAATGGGACCCTGACATTGATTACATCGTAAAGAGAGCCAACAGAAAGTTATGGTTTCTGAAACGAACCTTGCCGGGCACCGCCTTCTACAAAATTGCTTGCTTATAAAACTTTAATCCGACCAATTCTTGAATATGCCAGCGTCGTTTGGGACCCTTTCACACAAAAGAACGTAAACAAACTAGAGATGATTCAGAGAAAAGCTCTTAGGTTTATCTTTAACAAATTCGGAAGAAAGAACTCACCATCAAGATTAATGCTTCAAACGGATTTAACATCGCTGTCATCCAGAAGAAACATAGCCCGGTTAAAAATGCTTTATCTAATCGTGAATGGAACCATAAGAATACCTCAAGATAAATATATCGCTTTTTCCCAAAGGATCAACACTCGATTCACACACCCGAAAACAATTATTGAATGTCACTCTCGGGTAGATGCGTTTAAGTACTCTTTTTTTCCGCGTACTGTATCCGATTGGAACAAACTACCTCGAGATATAGTCAACTGTGAGTGTGTTTCCTAGTTTCTTGAGCAACTGTTATCAACTGTATAAATATGATTTTCTTTTTGCAATCGGCGCCTCACTGTCAAAGGCGTTCCACTGTTAAAGCTCTTGTGTCATATTTGCTACTATCTGCAAGATAATCTTTTATGTAAGTGTTCATGTACTGCTATGTGTATACTTGCCGACACACTGCTGTCAATTGTAGCTCAGAGTTTCTTTCGCGACATTCTGGTGGCGGGGGCCTACACTTACATTGCAAGCATCTTGTATACATAGTGCTTCATTCTTGTGCCACTCTTATTATATTCCATGTATTGGAATAATAGTATTGATAAATAAATAAATAAATAAATAAAACCGAGAGAGACGAGACCTGTTAAAACTTCTTAAAATTTCTTAGGACAAGGAAACACACTGGCATTCTGGCGCCATCTATGCGGTGACCCTGGAACTGCATTTCACAAGAGCGAAGGTTTTGCGGGATTCCCGAGGTCAAATGTGCGTAATACCTATAAGAAAGGCTCCGTTATAACGTTGTCAAAAGTTTTTCGAGACAAGAAGGAAAGGACAATGCGCGAGAGAAATAGAAATTATGCCGTATCGCCAAGTTTACACTGCTACCCAATAGATGGCGCCAGTATGTCCTCTCGTTGTAAGAGGTTTCAAGGCTTTTTTTGTAGGTCTATATGTGCGTGCGTGCACGCAAACAAGTTTCGTTCTGCTCCCTTTCGCGTTCTTATATACTTGCATGAGATGCACGTAATTGACGAAAGGAATGGAAGATATAAAAAACAAAGTTCACCTTTCCTATAAGCGCAGAAGAGCATCGCATTTTGATCCTGTTCAGCCTGTTATAACTCTTATTTGCCTGAATTTTTTTTTTAGTTTAAAGCAAAATAAATTTACATAGACAGCATCAAATTACAGACAAAGGACAGTAAAAACGTTTTTATGATGTTAGTTTTGCGAGAAAGGATTTTTGTGAGAAAGGTGTTCTTACAGAAAATCATCACAGTGAAATCAATGTGGCTTAAATCACGATATACATCATCTTGATTTTATACCCCGTCCTGAACTCAATGGATTCAAGGTAGATTAATTTGAGGATATTAATGCCTCGTCGAATTTCTGAAGAAGGGTAGTGTTGCACCATCTAGTGGCCGGGAATGATTCTCGTTGGATGTCAGCGTGCAGTGTGATTGAAAGATGTTAAAATTTATTTCCTGGGGTATATAAGAAGCGGAGAACAGCTAGATGGTCTTATGGCGAATTCCACTGGTCGTGTTAGAGCGCGCTGGGATCGACTTTTCTGGAGTGCGCCTATTTCAATAGTTGATCTGGATCGAGACGGTCGTGTTTTACTTGTCGTTTTAGATCAGCTCCCACTCCAGATCTCGATTAGCATCCTAAAACGTCGCTCCGTCAATTTCGGCGGATTCGACCGGACACAAGCCTGCACAGCTCTCGGCGCGCACACGAGACTTGCTTTTTATTCGGGCATCTCGCCTCCGCTCGCCTCGAAAGAATTTCGTTACGGCCATTCGTGAAGCGCCGCTCGTTTTACGGCTGCTGCTGCTTGATGACACTTCGTGGTCAAGTGGCTCGAGCAGCTCCTCCAGCAGCAGCGGCTCGAGTAGCAACGACGACGAGGATT